CACAGCTTCGTGGAGAAGATCCAGATCGGGGAATCCTACGAGAAGCGCCCTCTGTACGCCCTCAAGGTACAACAAACATGGCACAGACACGGCAGAGCCCGGCCCAGAGCAGCCCAGCCTGCCTGGGATGGTCTTGGCTGATGGATAATTTAATTCCTTCCCTCCCATTCCCGCAGTTCAGCACCGGCGGATCCAACCGCCCGGCCATCTGGCTCGACGCCGGCATCCACTCCCGGGAGTGGGTCACCCAGGCCAGCGCCCTCTGGATCGCCAACCAGGTCTCCTTGAGCCTTTTTGATTCATCCTGGGAGTGTCTCAGAGCGTTCCGAGGGCGTCACATCCGTGTGTTTCATTGCTGATCCTCACAAAACCGATTCCCGGAGGATGTTGTGGCTGCCCGGAGCACACACGGTGTCTTGTTGGAAGGGCTGAGTTTAGGGAGACAAAATGGAGCAGTTCAGGGAGACAAAATGCAGCAGTTTGTTGACAAAAAGAGGGCTGATAATCCTCCAAAAAAACCCCAAGGCCTTGGAGGTTGTTTTGCTGCTTCGCTCTCCCGGCGCAGGGAGACGCTCTGTGGTTGGTTCCCTCCTACAGCAACGCCCCAAACCTCCATCCCTCTGTAAATTTAAACCATTTCAAGCATTTAAACCCTGCTGGAGGTGCCTAAACCACCCCAGGAGTGCAGCCCAGTTGAGTATTCCCAGCCTGGCTGCTCCGTCTCAATCCCAGTGCGGGGCCTTGGTCGGTTCTCCGGGATAAGGGAGTGGGAAATTTTGTTGCTTTCCCTTATTAACCACCAAATCAAACAGGTTAATTGGCCATCAGACAACTGATACTCTTGTTCCCCTGCCCCAAAATCCAGCCTCTGTTCCCAGCTGTGAGGGCCCCTGGGACAGGAATGCTCTGCTGACCGGGCTGTGCTGTCCTGTCCCTGCCCAGATCGCCTCCGGCTACGGATCCGACTCCTCCATCACCTCCCTGCTGGACAAGATGGACCTTTTCCTGCTGCCAGTGGCCAACCCTGATGGCTTTGTGTACACCCACACCTCGGTGAGTGAGGGGGCAGATCCAGGGAGCCGCTCTGCTCTTCCAAGGAAATAATAAACACGGGGAAACAGGCTCTGAAAGTCCCTTTTTTCAGTGCTGTGAGAAGGAACTACAAGGAGCAATTTTAAATTACTCACCTTAAACACCTCCCTGCCCGTTTCTGACCAGGAATAATGCTGGGATCACGCCTGGGATCCCCCCCCTGGGGAATGGCAGCTCCCTCTGGGAGCAGTTTTGACCCAAAAACACCCGGATTTGCTCATTTTTGGGAGCTGTTCCCTCTCTTCCAGAACCGCATGTGGAGGAAAACGCGCTCCAAGAACGCGGGCAGCGTGTGCTACGGGGTGGATCCCAACAGGAACTGGGATGCGGGCTTTGGAGGTAGGAATGAGGAGTTCCTGGGCCCTGGATCCCATCACAGAGCACCAGGAATAACACCAGGGACTCCAAACAATCCCTCGGGATGGAGCCGTTTCCCGTTTTGCGTTGATTAATCGCCCGAGAGCACGAGGCGAAGGTGGCACTCGTGGAATCATGGAATTACGGGCTGGTTTGGCTCGGGAGGGACCTGAAACACCCTTTAGTTCGAGGCAGGGATACCTCCCACTGCTCCAAGCCCCGTCCCAGCACGGGGTGGGGGTTCCAGGTCGCATCATCTCAAAGTACATCCCTCAAACATTCCCATCCTGGCGCTGCTGTCCGAGGGTTTGCCGGCGTTTCAGGCCTTGCCTTTGTAAAGCCTGGCTTTGTTGGGCCTTCCTCAACCTCCCAGGACTGTTCCCTCTCACTGGTTTGTCCCTTCTCACTGGTTTGTCCCCTCCAGGTCCCGGGGCCAGCAGCAGTCCCTGCTCCGACTCCTACCACGGCCCCAGCGCCGAGTCCGAGGTGGAGGTGAAATCCGTGGCCGACTTCATCAGGAACCACGGGAACTTCAAGGCCTTCCTCACCCTGCACAGCTATTCCCAGCTCCTCATGTATCCCTACGGATACAAGTGCACCAGGCCCGACGACTACGCCGAGCTGGTGAGACACGAGGGGCTTTGGCTTCTCCTCCTCTTGGCTTTGGCTTTGGCTTCTTCTCCTCCTGGCTTTGGTTTCTCCTCCTCTTGGCTTTGGCTTCTCCTCCTTCTCCTCCTGGCTTTGGTTTCTCCTCCTCTTGGCTTTGGCTT